TTTAAATAGAGGCTCTGTATGTTGTCACTTTGAGAAAATCCATGGATAAACCCCTGAGAAAATCAAGATATACCAAAATGTACTATATACCAAATATAATGCTCTATGAGCCATTTGTTAAATATGGTCTGAAAATCTACTGAGAGGTTTGGGGTCTGCAAAAGTATGGAGTTTTGAGATGGAAAGGGTGTAGGATCCCTGTATCCCTTAATCAACAAAACTGCCACAAAGACATGATTCTGAAGACATTCCTAATCCTGATTTCCACTTTTGCAGATTGTAATTTAAATGATACATTTTGAATACTACTTTTTGCCATTTGACTGCTTTTGTTATTTTGAGTGCATATACAGCGGATACACACATCATTTGAAAAATCTTTCTACTTATTTTGTGGAGATAAACTGTACATGATGGATTTTTTTTGATAGTTTCACTCAGATTCGTCGTATTCGGTAATATTAGGCCTTTTTTGCAAATCAGCAGGATTTTTTTTCATTTACATTATTTTTGTGACAATTAAGTTGTCATTGAGAATGAGGTTTTCTTTTTGCATTATAGCATTGTCATCATATTTCAGAATTATTGTGCCTAATTGTCATTAAAATGCAACATGATTTTAAAAAAACTACAATGATTCAGAAACTCGTTCTGATATATTTTGCATGTCCTCAGTACTGTCAGTGAGATCGATGAGTGGTGCTGTTTTGACTCTTCTTAGAAAAGTGTGTTCGTCTGCAGAGTGAGCTTCAGGAGTGTTGTGTTTGTCTTATCCCAGGTGTTGGATCGTCTCCTCTTCTATCTGCGTATCGTGCACTCTATTGATTATTACAACACCTGCGAGTACCCGAGTGAGGACGAGATGCCCAACCGCTGTGGCATTATCCATGTGCGAGGACCCATTCCCCCCAACCGCATCACTCACAGAGAGGGTAAGCGCTGCCAATACAGCTAACAAGAGTCCGTACTTCCTGAAGTGTGATTAATTTGTTCAAATGCTTTGTTTAATGTAGAGTTTAATGAGCAAGCCATTAGTTGGTTGACTTCTTAAAGAGTGTAAATACTGTTTACACTCTTTAGGTGTAAACAGTTTAGGATGAGATTAGGTGTTCGTACAAATTGCAAAAAAATGACATTTCGCCATTTACGTAATCCCATGTAACACAGAAATGAACTGATTTAGCTGATTTTTGACCCTCTTGTAGTGGCTGACTGGCAGAAGACATTCGAAGAGAAGCTGGGATCCTTGTTCAGTGTGAAGGAAACCCTGTCTGAAGACGAGGCAGCAAAGATGGGCCGCAAAGATCCAGAACAGGAATTGGAAAAGTTTGTGCTGGCCAACACGCAGGAACTGGGCAAAGACAAGTGGCTTTGTCCTCTGAGTGGCAAAAAGTTTAAGGTGTGTGATATAACATGCTCCTTTATTCATCGGGTAGCCTTAGGCCCTGCGCTTTAAGAAATTATTTTAATCGATGTTAATTAAACATTGGAGTACAGTTTACAAGAAAATGTTTAATTTATCAAAATGTTGTTTAATTGAATGTTACTTGACATTTCTTTGTCATTATTTGTGACATTTACTAGTGATTTCATGAGTGAAACTTGCAAATCATACACCGGTTTTTCCAGTGTAGGGAGGTGGTTCATTTTTGACAAAATCAATAAAAAAATGAATCTCTCTCAAGGGCCCAGAGTTTGTGAGGAAGCACATTCTAAACAAACATGGTGACAAGATTGAGGAAGTAAAGAAAGAGGTCGTCTTTTTCAACAACTTCCTGATGGATGCAAAAAGA